TAGCTGCTGTTAATCATCAATACTGTATAACATACTTAATTCATATTAAAGCGACTTTTCTGAGATAATTTTACAAAGAAAGATATTACAAACTTGATATTAGTTTTAATTAATCAGTGAAAGATATCTGAAAAATATAATTTTGTTAATGCTGAATAAATATTTGACTAAAGCAATGGATGTACTACAATCGGTAGTAATTCGTCTATTTTACCCTGCCCATTTATAAAACAATTCGCTATCACAATTTTGTAGTAAGTTTTATATACAGAAACTGAAAAAATTAAAATATTTCTTATAGATCATAAATAATAAAATGTTCTTCTTCCATCCAAATTTAAAAATTTCTCTAGAAAATAAAAAGAAATTTATATTAATGTACAAATGATTGAAAAATAATATAAAAATTTCTATATATATTAAGTGGAATTAACAAATATAAATATTTACCTCTACATAATCATCTGTCCTTCTAGGATTGGCAGGATAGTAGTCAACAATCGATGGACGTGGTCGTTGACCAATACCAGACGGTTGCTGCAGCCCACATGCTTGTTCTTCATTTGTAATTACACTTACTAATGTACTGACTACCTTTTCATCCAACTGTGACATAGCTTTGTTTGGCGTCTTCATACGCCTTAAGAACAAAGCGTTCCATTTTCGTCTTAAATGTAAGAAAAATTGTGCGGTCTCAGGATCTAATTTAAATACTACCCAATCATCAAGCTTGAAAATTGTTCCTTCATTATTTTCGTCAACTTCAGAATCTGATTCGCTTTCTGGCGCAGCTGTAAATCGACGATGCAGACGTCAAAATATTTCATATAATATAGTTGGCCAATATACATATATAGTAGAACAAACAAACTTACTCTCTGCTTCATAAATTACATCCACTGACAACCGTGATGGTCCACAGAACAATGCTACTGTTAGTGGATTAACTAGCGTAACCATTTTCGCGTGGCAAAAACGACCTGTGCGACTCATTTCTTCATAGAGCAACCATTCACAAGGCAATGACTCAACATAAGATGCATGTGTCTGTGAAGATTCCGTTCTCGATGACTTCGAATAGTCCCTCAGGGTCGACGATGGGTGTAAGAACACTTTCACCTCTTTCCTACAAAAATATTTCTTATTGATATACAATTTGGTAAAGTGTCACTGTTACACGGAAAGCCTATGACGTACTGTGTTCTTAGTTGCATGTGCTCCCTATCTACTCGTATTAAATTTGGGTACAGACCAGCAGCTAAAGCTGCTTTCACTACTGCCCAATTCTCTGAATTAGAATTCAAATCTCTAATATCTCCTGGACCTCTTGCCCTAACAAATCCAGACGCGCGAAGCTGACCAAGAAGTTGTGTGCGCATTCCAAATACCATTTCCATTACAGCGGCAGAAATAAAATTTTGTTCGCAAAACAAACGTTCCTTGCCACTTGCACGTGCATTTTGCCAACCTTGAAAAGCACGTAACACAGCCATATGATCAGAATATGTGTTAGTGGCAAACCTTTTGCGAGCTACGTTAACAGCTCCTTTCTGCGATGGCTGCGAAGGTAAAACAAAGGGATCCCTGTAATTAATTGTTCAACATATCATTACCTTCATTTACTTAGAATATACGATTTTAGCATGGTTAAATGTACATACTTATAAGCTAAACTGCATACGATGGTTAATACAGGATCCAAACATTTCAAGACAACAGCGTACAATAACATTTTTCCAAGTCGTGGTTCCACTGGCAAATCCAGTAAATGGCTCCCTAATTCGGTCAGATCTTCCCATGGGTCTAAAGCGTCGATGGTTTTGAGTAATTGTACTGCATTTCTTGTTACTACGCTAGTGGGTGGTTCTATAGCTCGGTCCAAAAATTCAGCAATCGGTGTGTTGGCTGGTGCCAGATGTTTTGTAAACAAGCATAATTCTTGCAAAGGTAACCTTAAAATCTCTGATGTTTGATACGGCTGCATGTTGTTGTATCGAATCGATGAGAATAAACGATAACAAATTCCTTTTCTGCATCTTCCTGCTCTACCCTTACGCTGCTTGGCACAAGCTTGAGAGATCCAGTTAGATTTAAGCATGCACACTCCTGATAGGGCATCAAAAGATTTTTCTTTGACTTTACCCGAGTCAATTACATACACAACATCATCAATTGTAATACTTGTTTCAGCTATATTCGTTGAAAGAATAATTTTCCTAGTTCCCTGAGGACTTGGTTTAAATACTTTCTTTTGATCACAAGTTTGCATATTTGAATGCAGACCATACAAAACGTATCGTAAATTCTGATTCATTTCTTTCTCTTCATTATTTATCATTTCTCTCATGGTGACAATGTCGTCATAACCTGGCAAGAACACTAAAAGGGCACCAGACGGCATTTTCAAATGAATGTACATAATCAATTGTAAGAGAAGATCGTAATTAATATTGTCATCATCAAATGTGTGATGGTAAGCATCTAACAGAAGTTTATCTTCTTCTGAGAGCAAGACATCTTTTGCTTGCGCTATTGCGTCGTCTTGCAATGAACAATGGTAAGATTTCATATAGGCTTCTATCAACTCTGCGCATTCAGTTTGATTCATATTTTTCGCCCAGTCTAACGCAGTCCATTCATTGGCAGCTCGTAAATTTAAATTTGCACCTAAATTTAAAAGTTGTTCCGTAGTATTCAGGCATCCTCTACCTGCAGCGACCATAAGTGGAGTTGAAGACGTTATGGAATGTTGATAGTCTACAGACACATTTTTAGAAAGTATAAAATATAAAAGCTGTGAGAAATGTTCTTCACCACCCTTTAACCATGCATCAGAAATACATTTATCCATTTCTTCTATTAACCATGGCACTAATTTCACTTTTTCTGGAATTGGTTCGCATTGTTGATCTAAAATTGCAGCAGGCAACCGAGACCTTTCATTCATTGTACTTGAATTTGATTGCTGAGGCTTGTACTGAATCCAAGAATCTAAAATTTTACGCACATCATTTTTCTTCATAAGCTTCTCCTTTGAAGCAAGCATTCCTTCTGTCATGTATCCAGTTATTTTCAAAACATCTTCAAGATAATATGTATCTACGTCAAATGTTCTACCCATTACATTGATGACTGCACACTTTCTAAAATATTTGACAAAAATGTTGACGTCCACCGTAGCGCTCATAAGTATGAGTTTTAAAGAGCTATGCTTCATCAGTGCATCCTTAAGTGCAATTAAAAGGAAGTCACAAAATCTATCGCGTTCGTGTATTTCATCTACGATAATATGTGTCATGGTACTTAAAGCGGAATCACCTGCCATAAGAGTTCTGAGTAATACACCATTAGTGCAGTATGTTAAAAGTGTTTTTGGAGCTACTCTACTCTCGAGTCTTATTTGATAGCCAAATGTTTGACCGATCTTTTCATCCCTTTCAAATGCTACTCTCTCAGCCACAGAAACAGCCGATAGTCGTCTTGGTTGTGTACAAATTATTCTACAAGGTTGATGCCTCTGTTGGCAATTTTCAAGTATAAATTGAGGAACCTGGGTAGTTTTACCACAACCGGTTTCACCTCCTATTATCACAACATCATTGGTGTTCAATGCGTTAAGAATATCTTCTCTAACACTAAAAATTGGAAGGGATTTGCGAAAGTTCAGCACGTCAAGATTAGTTTTTAATTGCGGTACTTGAGGTACACTGTTGTTTAATCTACCCATAGCTTTAGTATTTGTATTCACAGAAACTGAAAATAATAAACTTCATAATTACTGAAAGTTGTGTATAAAAATAAAGATTAAAACTAATATTAATACCATCTGTATTAAGAGGCCTTTCACGCTCGACAGGTGGCAATAAATCCTGACATTCCTTGTGATTTAGAGGAAAACTTTGCAGTAAATTATAAATACTTTGTCTCGATTGTTTTTGTAATTTTATTACAGCATCCGCTTGTACTATAGTGGAACCTTCTCTCTTGTAAACAGTCAAAAAACGATTTGGACGTTTACTGAAAGAAAATAAAATTTCTAGCTGCAACAGAATATTAATAAAACATACATCATATTTTACTTACCCTCTAGTTTTAGATTTTAATCCAAGATCATACGCAAATTTATGAATATAGATTCTTTCTTCTGCCGTATACGATGATGGAAACTGTACTTCTTTCTGATCTGGGGTCTCCAATAATTTCTTCATCGTCAAATTCACAGCGATTCTTGTGTCCTCCCCGATGGGAGGATTTTCATTATGAAATTTCTGGCGTGACATTGCAATTATTTCTGAAAACCAGAAATGCTAGACTATAATCATTACTAAAACGTTAAAGCCAAATCTGAATTTACTCAAATAAGTGGCTTTGTAAATTGAACAAAATTAATGTACCAGACGTTTATACGAAATCAATAGTTACAAAATGTTTACGTGATGAATAAATATTACTATAAAATACATTTTTTAATTGAAACTTTAATGGGTTAAATACTGTCTTCGTGTTAACCTGTTTAAGATGACGGTGACATCTTAAGATATCAAGGCAGAAGCGCCAAAAGATCAAAAACAAACTAATTTCACGTGAAGATACGAAAGCAACGTTTACAGAAACAAAAATGAGGTATTGAAACTTTAAAAAGAAATGTTCAGTCGTTTCTCAAAGCTCCTCGCGCGGTTTCGAAAATTTGTTAATAATAAAGAATGAAATATTTACTCGATTATTCTATGGTCAAGATTCGCTCATCAGATCAGCTCTCAATCCGTTAATAACGAAGCACATGCACACATTTCGTAGCAGCAAGAAATTTTGTTTACTCACATAAGTTGCACGACCTTGTTCAACAACATATAAGCTTACATTAATATCTAAAGTGGTCGATTTCTAGCCCCACTCCCGCCATCATGTTGCATAGTCCAATGTGCGCAGACTTCGAGGAAGAGAAACACCGGTGTGCAAGAAGGATGAAACAAAAGCAAGCAAACCTCGTGTAAAATGCATCTTATTAAAAAATCGAAATCTTTCAACTCACCATTGATTCATTGGTGGTCCTATCTTTTTATTGTGTTGGAGGCGTATTGAGACGTAGTGATGCATGGAACTACGTATGTTATACACGGTGTGGAAAGCCCGCCAAAACACGGGAAGCAAGAAGATTGTGTGTGAAGGAAAGAATGTTCATCGATGTTCCAGGATTTTGAATCGTCTGAAACAAAATGAGAGAAGTACATTCTCAAGATGCTGTCAGAAAGATTGAAAAGAACTTTCTTTTTATTGATCTATATACTATTTTCTATCATACTACAGTTTTACATTTCTTAATTCTCTTCCGCGTATGAATTAAAAGTTTCAAACGGCTAGTTTCGAGTTTGAATTCGTACAGCTATGATATTCAATTGTTTAACCGTTTAAACAAATTAACAAACTAACTTAAAACAAATCATCATTTTGATGTATGTTAATGTAATTATTTAGAAATTCTTGTAACACTATTAACTTATCACGATTGTAATGTTTTAACGTAAATTTTATTGCGATTACTAATTTGGAAATATGCAACATTTACTGAAACAATAATTGGCCGCAATTGGCAGTACAGTTAAGAAAACGGTTATTCAAACTACAACTCACGCATGAGTGACAGATTTTCTTTGATAATCCAATATTTTGAATGTCTCTCAAATTTCTGTTGATATTACTGCAGGTATTATAGCGCGGTTGCATTTGGATTCGCGTGGTAGTGCAACAATACGTGCAACCACACATGTAATTTATTATTGCAAGTATATAGAGCGATAATTTTTACCACTTTCGCCTCAAGATACAACATAAAATCACAGACGAGGTGTGATCAAATCCGGCACAAATTATTTTTCGTTTTATTAAAAATTATAAAAAACAGCTCTAGATCTACTGATCCATAAGCATTACTAGTGCAAATATTTACATTCTCTTAACAGATATTATATATTGATTATAACATTTACTCTATTAGTCTATAATCTAATATTATTATTTTCATAAAAGTCATTAATTACTCTAAGTATCTTAGTATTTCATTCCTGCAAAAAACTGTTTACAGTCATGCCTCCCATAGTAAACCATTCTGTCTCACGATAGTAAGCATTTTTATCCCCACCATTTTAATACACATTCAGGTCCGCGCAGTGCTGTAAAAAGAGAACGGTAGATGATCGAGAGAGATAGAGTGAAACCAGCGGGATCTATGTGTGAGTGTTCATACGGACAAGAATCTAGGCTGCTCAATTTACTTTTTTCACGCATTCGTATGCCTGGTGCTCCATCTGAAACATCTCATCGTTCCTATCATAGGATATGACAAATTATATTTTTCTTGCGTGATCAATTTAATATATTGATGCACGAAATAATATCCCAGTGGCAAACTAAGAAAGACGGGAGTAAAGGAAGGGTGAATTTTTAATGTATTTTACAATATCTCAATTATAACTGATAAATCAATACCTTTTTGTAACAAAAGAAATGTACAACGAAAACCCAATAGCAAACAAACATGAAATATATAAGATTTAAACTACAAATAAATTACACCAGTTTAAATGTTAACCATGAAATTTAAAACTTGACTATGAAGGAACAATGCTATTTTCGATATTTACAAGTAGAGGTGTGCAGGTCACTGTAGTCCGCCACACCTGGATGATAGCAGCACCTCTTGCGACGAAATCGGGAAACTCTGCGCAAGGTTTGTACAGCGCCAATTAGTAAATGGCGAAACGTTGAAACTACTAGCCAAACATTGGCGAGATCTGGAAGCTCTCTGCAGAGTCAGTACAGCATCAATTAGTAGATGGCAAAACGCTGGAACTACGCAACGACGAGAACGCCCCCTTTGGATTCGAACGAACTCCACAATTCGCGAGCGGTGTCCGTCGATAGCGGTTGGTTCTTTAATTCGCGAACGATTACCGATACGGATAGAAGGTCGACGAAGTTAACTCGGTCGAACAACAGATAGTGTTTCCGTCGTTTCCACGGTAGCCCGCAAAACAGTGAAAGCGGGCACACGATCAAATACACTGTTCCAGTAAACAATATGGCCGGTTTAGTTTGGTGCGCGGGTTATGTCGTCCTTATTGTGTTTGCCAAGTGTTCGTCGTGCCACAGCCAGGATTAGCTGCCTCCGGTAAGTGTCGATTCGCCGAAAAGCATGATAGCCCCGACCGGAAGTTGAGTGAACGCGTTTCGCGATAAAGAGCTTCGTACACGGTGATTGACGGTTACGAGTGTGCCTTTCCGTCAATTACCGTTCCCGACCGTGTTCGAAGTTATCGGTGGAAATCTTAACGATGATTTTTGACTCGGTCGTGCACCGGCCGCCGTAAATCTTTTGGACGGTATCGCCGATCTGTTTGTTTACGGGAAAGTGTCACGCGTTCGACGGCAGCTCGTGGCTTTTCAAAATTTTATCTGGACCGAGTACGACCGAGTCCGGGATCGCGAGCTCGACTGTGTTAGACGGTATTGGGTTTTTTTCTTTTTTTTTTATCTTTCTACGCGATCGCGGTTCACCGGCCGATTTATCATCGGTCTCGCGAATTTGGCCCGGGACTCCATTTTTCGATCGGCGCTCTTCCCGCACACGGCCGCGACAAAGATTAAACTCGAAGACAACGTAACGCGAAGCAACAGGTTTTTTGCCGAGAAACTGCCGATGACCTCTCGTTTTAGCAGTCAACTCCGGTGCACTCATGACTCCGCGGACGTAATTGCCGTGTGTACGCGCTCCTCGTTCGCATGTTTCCGCGAAATAAGAAAATTGACCGGACAAGAATGGCTAATGGAAAATATAATTACTTGTCATAACGTCGATTCCGAGACCGTGGTGCAGCGTTGAATCTTCGCCGCACAATTACCCGAAATGCATTGCAGCTTCTGCGGAACTGGTGTGCGGCAGTTAGAGCAACGTTATTGTCGTACTTAAATGTTTAAAGTTTATCAACGCTTCCTTTTATGAATTGCTCCGGAGACCTATCGTCGGTAATAGAATCAAACGGGGACACATGGGTGTATCTGACAAAATCGGTTGGAACAGAGCGACTGCGTTTTTCGTTTCCGTGACAATCGATCCGGCGGATCGATACTGTTAGGATCTCATTTGAAAACGATTCTCGCGTACGTTGCGAGTCGAAAAATCATTGAGCAAAACCTGGACAACTCGAAATATTGTGTACTACCTTTCACTCGACACCGTTTGCATGAAAGCGCGTGCATACGTAGAAATTATGAAATATCCATGCGCGAACTTGTCTTTCGTATGTCCCGCATATGTCGAAAATTCAAATTCGACTTCGACTACTGTCGCTCGTTAATCCTTCCAGCGTTAATTGACGCTAGGTTTCGAATAATAGCGATATAGCTGGACTAACGAGCAACCGGATGTTTATATTTACTGTGTACAAAGAGCAGACGTTGTTCACATGGTATTGATTACAAAGGGGGAACGTACGAATATCTTTTGATAAATTGCGTGACCAGACTGCGGATTTTATAAGTTTACGGCGAGAACGAGTGTGAGCGAAGTTCGGAACAATTCCAATTCCAAAATCTTTATTTAACGTGCTAAGAGTTCTATTTTTTGTCCTGATATTTGTTTTTCTTTTTATTTCTTTTTATTTATTTATTTTATTTACTTGGAATTTACTTTGGAACCAATTCCAAAATCTTTATGTAACGTGCTGAGAGTTCTATTTTGTCGTGATATTTTTTTTCTTTTTCTTTTTCTTTCTTTCTTTATTTTATTTACTTGGAATCCTTATCTATTTGGTGAAAACAAACATTCGCCCCGGTGACTCATAGTGGGTAGATACGAATAATAGATTCTCTGAAATTAAAAATTTTCCCTTTAATTATTTCCCGTTAATTATGGTTAATCGTGCTTAATCAGCAGGTTGCAAACCTGATCACATACATATCGCAGGCCGAGGGGTTAATATTTCTGTTTCGACGGCGAAATCGCTGAGAAAATCGTTACGATTGATTCGTCGTACGTGCGACCTGCGATACAACAGATTTTATGACCGTGCTACGGCCAAACATGATCGCGTCGTGCGACGGTCCCGACGCACGGCTTACGATTACCGTTCTCCGACGGTCCTCGTAGCGAAGAAAATTGTACAACTCGCACGATAATTGACAACGTGCGCGGGCCATTTTACGCAGAAAATCGCGTGTTCCATTGACTGGGAAGCAAAAGCTTCTGTCCTTATTTTTCAGCCACGCTGTACGTACATATTACGAAACATTGTCCCGCACAGCATGCCACGCACACTTGGGAATCGTACGCTCGTTTGAAACGGGAATAAGAAAACTTATTTAGAAGTACCGTAAACACAACTGGGAAGAATGTAAATCGTGAATGTAAATCCCGCGCGTGTTTGTAGGTCACTTGTCATTAATCCGAAAACTCGTCATTAAAATCTAATAAATAGATATCGAGATTGTCTCGAGACTGTTCCAATTTCCTCTGCATTTACCGAGACGGTAAAAAAATTGAATTCCACCTCTCGAAGTTTAAAACACTATTTCTTTCTTATTTTAACTCTCTCTGCATCAAGTCATTCTAAATCTCTGTATTGTTACTTTCTTTTTTGTAATTTTATACATTTATATTATATATTTTATTATATTTATTATATTTTATTATATAAATTTATATTATATATTGTTATTATTATTATATATATATAAATTTTAACTCTGCATCAAGCCATTCTAAATCTCTGTATTGTTATTTTCTTTTTTGTAATTTTATAAATTTATATTATATATTATTATTATTATTATATATAAATAAATATAAACACGCCGAGTTCGAACATTCCTTCTTCTCCGCATCGATTGTAAACAAGCATCGCGTGTCGTCGGTGACCACTCATAAGGTTGTA